AGCGGGGCGGCTCCGCCGGTGCGGGCGCAGCGGGAGCCCGGCTTTCTTCCCCGCCGGTCGCACCTCCGTCTCCTCGTTCGCGCTGGTGTAAAATGCTGCCCGTCGGGCAGAGCGGGAGCGCAGGTCCCCGCCGTGGGTGACGGGGGTGCCCCCATCAGCGGTGCAGCGAGTGCCCGCGGGGCTCTGCGGCATCCCCCGGACATCTCTGCCGGCTTCCACCCCTCCGCCTCGGGCCCCACCTGTGCAGCGGGGCAGGGGGATGCGCGGCCCTTGGCAGGCACCGTGCGGTCTGTGGGAGGCCGGGGTTAGGTGCTGTGAAATTGGGAGTATGTGCTCATGCTCAACAACCCTTATACGCCTGACTTCGGGAGTCTCCATGTGCACTTTAAAAACTTGTTTCTGGCTTATGTCTTCCAGAGTCACGAAGAAGATGACAGGAAGGTAAGGAGGAGAGAAAAAAATCGAGTTGCTGCACAGAGGAGCCGAAAGAAGCAAACTCAGAAAGCAGATAAACTTCACGAGGTGAATGGGTACTTGATGCTTTGCAGGCACGGCTTGGGTACCGAGCGCGGGACTTTACAATAAATGGGACTTCTTAAGCAGGCATGGGCCTGTCTTAACGCTAATCCAGCTCAGAGAGCTGTGGGTGTGAGGCAGAGACAGGCGTGCTGCGGGGTGCCTGGTCGGGAACTGCCGGACACCGATGCTCACGTTGGATGGTGCAGCTCTGCCATCGGTGATACTGCAAGAGAGAGGGAGACGTGGTCCTGCCCCTCCCCTCACCCTCCCTCTTTTGCTATTCCCGTGACCACCCGGTGAACTGGATCACAGGGCTCCTCTGGGCTGAAACAAACCCATTTTCTTCTGGATTAGTGTTAAGCTTGTCATGTTCGCTATGGCAGCGGATGAATGCTTGCTGCCTTACGAGGGAGAAGGCGATGGAGGGGGAGGAGGGGACCGTGCTGCTTCGTGGCAGTGCTGGCTTAAGTCAATTCTAAAACTATAGTGTGAGACAGAAATACCCAGTTGAAAAGGCTTCTTAGGAACTTCAGAACCTCCAAGCGTGAGAGCTCGGTTCAGTTAGCTGTTACACTTGTATACTCTGATAAATAACAGTGGGTGTTTCCAAAAAACCATGAAAGTAACTGATTCTTCCAGAAACTCTTAATACTTCTCAATATCACAATGTGGTGTAGTTTTCTCGTGTCCCCAGTGCAAACACTGGAGGACAGGAATCCCCTTTCTCTGGGTTTGGATGTTACCTCACACAACAGTGCTTTTGTTGCAGACAGGGCTCTTGGGGTAGGTGTTAGTTCTGCTACTGCGATTGTGGCTGAGTCAGTTGTTCAGCTCTGGAGGTTCAGCACAGGCTCTTCTCTTTCTCAGTGTGGAAGGATCTGCCAACAGTCAGCAGAGGCCAAGAGGGACAGTGTGGGGAGTTTTGGGTTTGGTTTTTCCCAGATCTCCTCTGAGTCAGCGCCTGAGAAAGCCAGGTGCAGGGTACTTCTGGAAAGGGGTAACCCCTGGCTTTTGTGGAATCATTTCTGGGCCCTGTGCCATCCTGCAGCCTCTCTGATGTTCCTCCTGGACTCGAGGATCTTCCTTGTGCTGGGAATCTTCATTCTCGGGCACGTAGGTTTTCCCAGGTGCAGGCAGATCTGGTTGAACAGACATTCATTCTTAGCAAGAACAATTTGATAGTCTCGTCCCTGAAAACGGGACAGAGCAATGGGAGAGTAACATTTACTCCAAAACCCAACCCCATGGGGTTTGGGGCAACAAGAGGTGAGCAGGGACAGAGTCAGGGACGGACAACTTGGCTGGAGTTTGGCTACAATAACGTGTTAAGAGAAACGTGCCTGTCTCACTCTGTGGGTGAGAAGCGGTGGGTGGTGGAAGGGTGTTGAGGGAGGGCAAGGGGATCCAAACTTCTACAGCAAAGGGCAACAGAGACAGTGCCAGGCTGCCCAGAGGAGCATTGCATGAGAGGCTCTCCCTGCTGCCTGATAAACAGGCCTTTTAAGGCATGTGTAGGCTCTGAAGTTCACTTTGAAGCTTTCCCAGGGAGGTGAGATTGAGTGGGTGAGTGTTGAGCCCTAGGCCAGCAGTGAGGTGCAGACACCTGCAGGTTTTCCGTGGGCTGGCTCTGAACCTCTAGCTCTCTTCTCTTTGGGATGAGAAGTCTTGACAGCAGGGACACTTGAAACATGCCCTTATCAAAAAATGTGACACGCGAGTCTCATATCCGTCACAGATGTATACTGCAGAGCATCTCAGAACTCCCCTGCAGTTAATAGCAGCGTATTCATTGCCAGAGAAGCCTTAGCTCAAAAGCAGCCTGGGTCAGGGATAACCAAGGCAGTGGTCAGGTCCTCTGGTGACAAAGTCGGGCTGGGAACAAGCTGGCATGACCCTCCCCTCTTCCTGTTCTTGAGTTCCCGGGCATCTGAGCAGGTGGCTACAAGCCCAGCCGGGCTGGAGGAGGGTGACTGGCACCGGGCGTGCTGTGCTGGGTGTCCGTCTCAGCCAGCACCTGGGTAAACGGACTTTCCCTGCACTGGCCCAGGGCAGGGGCTGCCCTTTCCTCGCTGGCAATGCCAGGCACCGGGTTTTCCCGGCACCTACCTGCGCTCGGTGCTTTCATTTTCTCTGCTCTGACAGTGCAGAGCTGCCCTGCTTGGCCCTTACCAGCAGAGGCGGCCCAGGGCTGGAGGAGGCCACCACGGGAACGCAGCCACCCATGCCTGCAGCCCTGGGCTGCTGGGGACCCCCGAGGGCCAGCGGCACCTCCTGGTCTTCGGGGCCACAAAAGGAATCACAGCGTGGTCAGGGCACAGGTTGTGAAGCTCTTGCCCTGTTCCAGCACCCAGGCTGTGTCTGTCTTTCCTTAGCATTTTGCAGATTGTAATAAGAAACCACGCAGTTTTTTTACAGTTACGTGAATATACTCAAGGTGGAAGCACTGAAAGGAATGTTTTGACTGTTGAGTAGGCTTTTATTTTTTTTTGTCCCTCCTTCCAGGAATATGAGTCTCTTGAGCAAGAAAATACCTCCCTGAAAAGAGAAATCGGAAAGCTAACAGATGAAATGAAACACTTGAGTGAAGTGTTGAAGGATCACGAAAAGATCTGTCCACTATTGCACTGTACCATGAACTTTGTGACCGTACCAAGGCCCGATGCACTTGCTAGCTGCCTGCCAAGATGAGCGCTCTCCTTGATCGCCTTTAAATCATATGTGATGTGTGAAAGTGTCATTGACGGGAGATTTGAAGAACTGCCTACTTATGGTGCAGGTCTTCCATCGAAGAGGGCTGGACTTGACCACGCAGCTCTTCTCCGTGCTGAAGTGTTACAGTCTTCTGAATCTCAGGAAAATACCAGCATGGAAAAAAGACAATTCGAATGGCGACTTCTTATTTGGTAGAATCTTCAAGTCATGGTTTCGCATTCAGAAATGTCAAAGTGCGGTGCAGCCCACCATCGCGCGATGGAATGTAGCCAGGGAAAAGTACTGACCTTGGGCTGGGATGCCTTTCTCCCACACGTCCACTGCCAGTAACCCTTTGTCACTTCTCATCCATGTGTATCGCATTCTGGCTGCTGGGTTTTTTTCCTCTAAACAGGTTTGGTTAATAAAAGCGATGTCCCATCTTTTTGATGTTCTCCACCTTCTTCAATAATCAATGTCTTTATAACATCTCTACTTTTTCTTCACTGGTCAAATCCAAAGTCTAATGCTAATCTTCCTGTCAGTTGTTTTATTATTTGCTTATCACCTCTTCATTGGTTCCTCTTTTGAAGTGTGTGTAACAAATGAGTTTTCCCAGTCTTTATTTCTTTAGTATCCCAAATTATCAGCCCTGTCAACGTTAGTTCTTGGAGTGTTTTATATCCTAAAATATGGCTTGGCCAATTTCTAATGATGATTGCCTGCTCTGTGTGGAAGAAAAGCAAAACAGAGTTTGCTGGTTCCACATGTTGTTTTAAAAAGCAGATTTTAAAATTTACTGTTTTAATGCACTTACTGGAAATCAACAAATACCTTTATCCTTCATCTTGCATATTGCTTCTGGTAAATGATGTCCATAGATAGAACAAATTGAGTTTAGCTAAGCATTTTGTTTTATGTCCACACTGAAGATGTTTGATAACTGCTCGCAAGAAAAACATGTTTTCTTTAACGGTTTGTTTTGTTTTTTTTTTTTTACAAAAAGGAAAAATTATGACAATGTTAGTGAGAAATAGAGAAAAATGCATTTACTTCCTCTGAAGATTCTTAGTCATGTCAAGCTCTAGAAATGTGAATGCTGTAGCCTGAGATCCAGCAAAGTGTTTTTCTTGCAGTATTTCCCAGTCAAAGAGCACCTTTGGATAATAAAAAGCTCCACCCCTTTGCCAGCTCTCTCACTTCAGCATTTGGATTTTTTTTGGTTCGACTCATGGGATTAATTTCTCCCCTCACCAGGATTGTAGTATTTATCAGCAGAATATAATTTGAAATATCTGAAAGATTTTTTTGCTTTTTTAGCTTCTTCAGTAGCATGATGCATTGCTGATCACTGCCAAGATAGAACTGGGGAAACCATGTAAACTCTGCCTTCTAAAGGGCCCTCTCATGCTATTGTCCTAGGCTAGAAACTCAAGATAACAGGCATGAGCTGCTGGCTTCTTTAGAAGTTTTCATTAAGTTGTCCCCAAGAGAGTTTTCAGCATTTGCAGAAGCTATCTACAGCCTAAATGTCTTCAAAGTTTCTTACGGTCCTGTAAGAACTGAGTCATCCCGCAAAGAAAAGCTGGTGCAGTCCCTGCCAAGGAAAATGAAAGTTTTGAGACATCCAAAATGCTTATTTTGAAGTAATGTCCTTGATATGATTCTGTGTGTCACCCTTAAGAAAGGAAGCTATCTTAAGCAACTTCATCCACCCACCCACTTTCCTTCAGGCCCTGGATGCCACTGTGTAATTTGGGCGGAGTAGAGGTGTAATGCAGAAGGAGGAGCATAGTGGAAATGAACAACATTCACTTTGGGAAAATTCATTATAGCTTAGGATGGAGGGAGAGTGAGAGAGGATATCTCACATCTCTTAACTAAGTATGTGTAACTGAGCTGAGGCTGGGAATGGAAAGTAGCTAGTTGAGGTCAGGGCTGGTGCGAAAGCATGGTCTCTCCTGTGGAGCCCTGCAGACCCTCGAAAATGGGAGGAAAGATCAACCACCTTGTCCAAGACAGTCCATCCCAGCAGAATCCTTCTAAAGATTTTTGTCCTACAGATGCTTGCTTCTAGAAGTGGTGATCTAGTTCCCTGTGTAAAATCCTCCCCCTTACACATTTATTCTTCTAAACATCTGTCTAGAAACTGGCTCCAGCTTATCATTTGGTAGTTCAAGTTCTATTGTACACTCTCCGTCAGTAAGCACTACTCTTGTTCTGTGATGCAAGCTTTAATCCACTGTTTCTGCATTGGAGTTTATTGGTTTATTACCTGTATAATGTCCATGCAGAGTGTACAGGGGAAGACAGTTGAATTCACAGCAACATTGTGCGCCGGCAACAGCAACCTAAGTCCAAGGATCTGCTCTTCCTTGGAAGGTCTGGGAGCCCTGCAGGGGCCCTCACTGCCACCAGTTCCTTCCCACAACCACAGGGTGTAGCTCCAGTCTGTGCATCACGTCCGTTAGTAACAGCGGGCTTTGAACCCTCTGGGGCCTGGACTGCTTCTTCCTCCTTCATCTATTGCATCACCTTTTTTTCCCAGCGCTAGTTCCAAAGGGTCTTATGCATCATTCTTCTGTTTACCAGATTAACTGAGGCATCTCTCACAGTGTATTGTGTGACTAATGTTCAAAGGCAGCTGGGAACCCCAAGCAAAAGAAGTGAGCAAAATGAGTCCCAAGCTAAATAAACCCAACATTCTGGTATATTTATAGAATTAATGTCATAGCTGAATTATGGGTCAAAAGGGACAATGAACTGTTAAAGCACAGGCTTATGTATCCCTAAGCAAATGATAGGCATACAGGCTGATTACACTCTTTGCAGGAGCTGTTCATAAGGATATTGATTTACAGAGCGTTTGCAAACTGAAAGTATGTTCTGGAGCATGGGATAATTGTTACATGAATAGGGAACCAGAAAAGAGAACAGAAAGGAAAAGGCCCATTTGTTAACGAAGCAACAGAAAGTTCTTTTTCAAATCCAAACCTCTCCTTTTGCAGCAGGGTATTACACCATCACAAAAAATGTTTCATACCTGTATGTGGCTAAAATACCACTTGATGTATTCTAGCTTCAGAAAGCTTCCAGTTCGTTTGACTTGTTCCCTACGAATGTGGTCTGTATTACATTCACGTGATTTTCAGATGCAGGTATACAGGGAAGACCTTTTCTATGTTCAGCTGGTGGTTCATGTGAGGAGTACTGTGAATCGCAGTCTTGTTTGTGGATGCGTAATGTAGATGAGGGTTGCCAAGAAAGCTGGATTTTGCCTCTTAGGTTCACAATGAAGGTCGCAGTTTGTCTAGGTTTGGTTAGCGTGGATTTCCTTTTTGTATTTTCTGTGACTCTAATGAAGAAGCAAAATGCTCAGTACAAACTTACCCGCAGATAAAGGTATTCATTCCGGGAGTAGAGTGGGTCCAATTCAGCTATTTGTCTATTCATTTCTTTCAGTTGTTGGGTCAGATTTAAATTGATCATATTTTGAAAAGATAATTTTAGCCTCCAAAGGTAAAAAAAATCAACAGAAAGGCAAAGTCAAGCTTCCCAAAACTGCTAGTGTGAGTATAAGAGGTCAACTACTATACTTCAAAAGAGCTGATTAGAAAGTCTTGCTCCTTCCCACTGATGTTTTACATTCATGTCTATGAACATTTATAAGCATCTTCATATACTCATCCAGAGTCTTGCTAAAAATACACCTTTAAAAAACCATATTTAAAACAGCCTATTCTACAGACTTTCTGTTCTTTTCCCTGGTACCTTTTACTGTCGTCTCCTGCTCCTTCTGTAATACCTGCTGAGCTCATCTGCATTTGGTATTTGCAGTAGCCTTTGTATTCTCTCACCATTTTATTTCAAATGCCACTTTTTTTCCTTCTTCCCGTTTCCTTCTGTTCCTGTGCAGCTTGGTGACAACATCGCTTAATGTTTATCGGTATTAGAGGAACAAGGCTAATCTGTAGGAGCATACAGAAATTGAACTTCACTGGTACACCCTGTATATGATTAAAGGCTTTTATGTGTGGCTAGTTTTGTCAGTTGAATATTAAGGAAGGTGTCTGTGCAGTCTTTTAAAAGGTACTTAAAAGTGACATAACCTTTACTCTAGCCTATAAAACCCAAACTGTTTCCTGTCCATAGATGAACGCTTTGCTGCATGGCATTTGGGGTTTCCATCTGTGAATCAGTCTAGAATTTCTGCCTCAGTGAAAGTGATAGATAAAACAACCATTTAAAAAAAAATCCCTTTTCTCTTCTTCCCATCAGTGCAGTGATATAATTCCTGTCACAGGAAGGAAGCATGTCTGATAAGCAGGAGAAGTGGTGGGTTTATTTACTGTTACGAAGACTACTGTTACTCTCTTTATGGGAGGGTAGGAGTTTTCTGTTTGTAAACCCTGGGTTACTGTCAAGTGGTCACTGGAGAAACATTTTACACGTACATACAGCATGTGGTGTGGGCACACATCCATACGGGAGTGAAAGAATTTGGATTAATTGTTTGCAGAAACGTGGGTTTTACATTGATTTCACTGGAAGTAGAAACAGCCCTACAGCTGCCTCAGAGGACATGTGGCACTATGCTTACTAACTTGGGTAATATTTAACTCAAGAATAGCTACAGGCTAACTTGAAGTGGGTAATTCTTAATAAGGAAACCATAGTAACAATCATCCCTGGGATTGCGTGCTCCTGTTCTGGTATTCATTCACGTTTTTTCCTAGATAGTTCCTGTGGAAAAAATCCCTAAGAATAGAGTAGGAATTTTTTCTCCCACTGTCAAATTTTTAAACCATGACATCAAATGTAAGGGCTTGACTATTCTGGAAATAGCTGGCATATCTTTTGCAAATAATCTGTTCTCTATTTATGTGTTTGCCTGCTCTAAGGGAATCATTATAGTTCTCTTTAGAAGTGGATAAGCTAAACCACAAAGGGCTGTCTTGGTATAGAATGAAAACGTTCATTTGAGGAGTTAGTACCAAGTGACTACTGTGCTT